GGCGCGCGCCGATCTCATTACCGGCGCGCATATCAAGCGACCGGCGCTAGCTCAAATGCAAATCGCCGACCGGTACAAATCGGTCGTCTATGCCGGGCTTGCAGGCCGGCGCCAGCTAGCCATTGTGATGATAATATCCAATAGAGCCGCCCATACAGCGCTATTCAAACAGCCGCTGCGCCGGCCGGTCCGCCACGGCCGGCTCCCGACCGCCCTTAAACAACGCCAATAATTAAGTGCTGTTTGCCAAAGGACTCGAGACCCTGATATTTACACTGCAGGATAATGGGGAGAGAAATTAGAAAACAGGAGAGGCATTAGCGTCGGCCGCTGTTTACCCTTGGGCTGGCGGCTGGGCTCAGGATAAACGACGCGGTGAAACAGCTTAAACAGAATTAGCCGGTCAACATCTGAGTCAAAACACGCGTCGGCCGCGATCACAGTGGCGAACGTTGTTAGGCGCACCGGGGCAGATTGCATGTGCAAGGTTCTCTTATTAGATATGCGTACAATTCAACTGCTAAAGCACCGCCAGCGATCGGCAAAATGCCGTCGATGTAACATTTTGCGGACGGCGCAGAGATCAGGTGCGCGGAGCAGAGCTCTGGAAGTTTTGTGATCGGGACGTCAAGTATGTTTGATATCCACTTTGCCTATGTCTTCTCCGGTTGTAAGTATCACTTAGCCCATAAAAAGTCACTCATTACCATAAGACGTCTGCGGTATTGTCATTGATACCGAAAATCCCAATCAACGGGCAGTTCGTTCCCGGGAGATTTGGTCATGCCCCGCGACGCTGTGACATGGCCGCTCCCTGCCTCAGCCGGCTCTCTCGGCCAGTCACCCATCGTTAGCAGACAGTTAAAGACAGGCTAGACAAGCGTGATGTTTGGTACGTTCACCCACACGCCCGGCTCACAATGATCAAGGTGTCAGTCATTGCTTGGGCATGTGCACAGCCTTCAAGTAACACCACGGAGCGGACGCTAACTTTCTGAAATGCCGGAAATATTGTTGCATCCCCGATTGAGGACAAAGTTACACCCATGAATGTGAGCTTTGGCTGGATACGAAAAAACTGGTACAATCAGAAATTAACTCGACGTTATTTCGTTGCGCATATTCAAATTTCCTTTCAAAGTTCGAAAGGTGCATTTAAAAACGTCGCATGACATTACAGCTTTAAATACAAAACACGACACTCCAAGGTCTGGACAAGTAAACGGTGTCAGCTTTGCGCTTCCTGATGTATCTCTGCTTAGGATGTGTCATGTGCGCTTTCGAGTCCCTGGCAATGTCCAGGTGGGTTCAGGTGGAATTGCACCACAACAGCGCTGCTCTGCCCTACTCTCTGTATCCCAGCTGAGGTCATGGGGTCCACGTTCGACTGCCCGAGGCTGCATGGTGTGGCGGTTGCTCTGAACGGCATACTTCCCCTAGTCTGTGTTTCACCGGCCTTGCCCCATGCTCCCGTGCCCCAGCTGGGGCCGACTCTGAGCCCCGCGCTCGTCCCCAGCTGGGGCCGGCTCTGAGCCACGGCGCCTGTCCCCAGCTGCAACCGTCTCTGACCCAAGGTACCCGTCACCAGCTGCGACCGTCTCTGATCTGTGGCGCCCGTCCCCAGCTGCGACCGTCTCTTAACGGCGGCGCCCGTCCCCAGCTGGGGCCGACTCTGAGCCACGGCGCTCGTCCCCAGCTGGGACCGACCCTGAGCGGTGGCGCCCGTCCCCAGCTGGGACCGTCTCTGAGCGGCGGTGCCCGTCCCCAGCTGGGACCGTCTCTGAGCGGCGGCGCCCGTCCCCAGCTGGGACCGTCTCTGAGCTGCGGAGCCCGTCCCCAGCTGGGACCGTCTCTGAGCGGCGGAGCCCGTCCCCAGCTGGGACCGTTTCTGATCGGCGGCGGCCGTTACCAGCTGCGACCGTCTCTGAGCGGCGGCGCCCGTCACCAGCTACGACCGTCTCTGAACGGCAGCACACGTCCCCAGCTGCGACCGTCTCTGAGCGGCGGCGCCCGTCACCAGCTGGGGCCGACCCTGAGCTACGGCGCCCGTCCCCAGCTGGGACCGTCTCTGAGCGGCGGCGCCCGACCCAGCGCGGTCCGCTCAGAGGCCTGGCTGAGGCCACTCCGATGCCGGCGGCGGCGCGCCGTGAAATTGGCCACCCACCTAATGGGTCTCGGTCGGGTGTCTGCCATTTTCTGCTTGGGTTGGTGACGGAATTTGAGGAGCGCTCGACTTTTAGCAGAAAAGTGCTGGAAAAATGTACTTCTTGTGCCGATTTCTTCTGGTGATGTTTTGCATCAAGAGGTGCATCAGGACGCAGAATGAAGCAGCGTTTTGAGGCGATGCCCTGCTACGAGAATCCAATCATGGCGGGCACAAAAGAACGCGATCGCTTCGCCGATAGATGTCATTTAGATAGCAACGAATCTGAAATATCGTCGAGTGGCACCACCAACGAATTATTATTGGCCATTGTTAACGCTGCCTGCGTTAATGGCTGTTTCAGGGGATGCTGACTTTTGAGTGTATGTTATGCTTGCATGATGCCCGTCGTCGAATTTTGGTCAATCTTATCAAATCGCACAGAAGGGAGAAAGGCTGTCATTCCGAGGCGGTCTGCGGGTTCTTAGCCACAGCCCACCAACCTGCACATCAGCCTCAATCGCGTTTGCTTACTGAATTAATTTTTCACCCCCCCCCCCCCCCACACGCATACACACGCACACACACGCACACGCACACGCACACACACGCACACACACACACACACACACACACACACACACACACACACACACACACACACACACACACACACACACACACACACACACACACACACACACACACATACACTCACAATCCAGGTAAAGCCCGGTTCATGGTATTCCAAGCCGATGTCACAGCCGGTCGGAGGCTCGGCCGTCGCCGCCGTCCGGCCCCTGTGCGGCTGATCCACAGCTAAGTCGTCGTCTTCAGCCCATCACAGCACATCCTGTCCATACACGCCGGGGAGTGGTTCGTCTCCGAGTCGGACACGGCTTAGTGACAGTGCCGACACGCAGCGTTCGTCACACGACTGTACGCCACATCGCTCCTGGGGGGCCGCAGGGGGGGGAGGGGGGATGACGTGGCAGATCCGGCTGCTCCCACTGATGAGCCGCAACCATGTGGAGCCCGTTTGAAAGGCGCCTCAGGTTCTGGAGCTCAACAGCTAAGATGGTCAATGCTTGTGGAATAGACAAGGTCGAGGGATGTCCATTGTATTGACGGCCGGGGGGACTCATCGTTACCAGACGCCGTCTCCAAGGAAGGTCTTCAATCAAGAAGGCATTGAACTCCTGGTTTGGTTGACATGACGAGGTCAGAGTTCTAGGTTATGTCTTTTTACTCTCTTTTCTACAGTTATTATTCCCTTCTATATTCTCTTCTATATCTTTACATTCTCTTACATTACATTCTCTACAGTTATCGTACGTCACAGTATTCTGACAGCTATCGACCTCCGATATACCGGGAGGTACCGGCTAAACGACGTTATGAAGCAAGCATTGAGAGTGATGGTGATTCGTGATCACAAGCACAGCCTGAAACGTCGGACATCGGCCATGTGACCAATGTTTGCTTGCTTACGTCATTTTACCTGCTACCTCCCGGTTCATTGAAGGCCGATAGCTGTCAGCATAATTATTTCAGCGCGACGCTAGAATGATGGCATTTAAACTTGCTGAACACAAAGCAGCTCAGTTTGACAGGTGTCCAGCAGCAATGCGAGTCACTTTTTCTAGAAATAGGCGTAGAAGCATGAAAGCAAGAACAAACAAAAGCACTGGTTTGAAAGCATGCCATATAAACATAGCGCATGCGCTAATAAGAGAAGATAGATGGCGCGGCATGTTAGGATGGACTTACACATGCATGATTCCAGAAGAGCAGCATCTCTTGCAACTCCCTCCAGGGTTTGTCCCGAGGTGTGAGTTATGCATTCTGAGCGACCGTGCCGCCTCAAATTCAACCTCAAAAGCATCACAGCTCAAACCCTACAGTGTATTGCAGCATGTCGAAACACATTTCAAACACAAAGGTTTTGTTGGAGAAACGCCGCCTGCCATGTTTGATGACTACGCAAGTGAGGCTGCGGGGAGTGAGGCGGCGAACAGGTGCTCGCTCGCCAATGGGTTCGGTTAGTTCGTGTTCTGGCTACAGGTGTATGCTTCATTGTACCGTCCATGTACATCCGCCTGGACGATAAGAGGCACGATACGGTCAGCAACAGACCTGCCGGTGGTCCCTGGGCGCAGTTATGTGCTTTGAGTTACTCCGGTAACAAACGACAGGTGAGAAAAAACGGGCAAGGTGATCTGCATCGGGCAGTGTTGATTGATGAGTACGCGACGAAGTGCGGAATTTGCTGCAAAGGAAGCCGCATGTACTGTTTGGTAAACTCTTACTGCAAGAGCCGCCAGCTAGTCAGTTTGATCTGTTTCCATTTGTTTGCCCCTGCTGCTGCTGAATATGAACTGAAAAACAACAAGCAACTGACACAGCACGTCATGGCAAGCACGCAGCTCCAACGTTACTTTAGATCAGCCTGCAGTCACTGTCGGGGACACTCATTGCAACGCTTTGACGCCCCCCCCCCCTTCCAGAACATCATCTCTCCATACCACTCCTTCCGATTATAACTAAGCACGCCCCCCCCCCCCCCTCCAGCACTAGTATAAGGCACCAAGCACCGAACGAGCCCTGCTCCGGGCCGGGCGACTCAAGGTTTATAGGCAACTTAACGCAATAAGCAGCTCTGCCACGCAAGCTTAGCTAACCCTACTGGTGCAACTACTGCATGCAGGTGAGCCTCTTTAGTTTGTAGCATCAAGGCAGTGAATAGATACACTAATGTACATTTGGTAGCAGGCATGTAAGTGATTCTGTTCAAAGCGTCGAGTCCGCTTGCAGGCACAATTTTCACTGGGGCGATTATAAAACTGCTGATCTCGTTTGACGGTTTTGACGGTTTTTCTGACGGTTTTTCTGTAATATCCCTCCAATCTTTCCAATGTCTAAATTCAACCCTTTTGCCCCTTAAGCGAATACGCGTGCTTAATCATGTTAATCAGGAGCGTGAATGAAATTCATCACTTTTGTGCATACCCTGCTGCACTACCATTCGTTTTCATTCGTGACCATCACTGATAAGTGCGAGTAGCGATCAGGGAAAAGCAAGAGCCCATTATCTCGAGCCAGGTCGGAAGGCGGGATGCGGTTGTAGACCTAGCCGTTAGCCAACAAGAGCTCGTCAAACCATGCACTTTTCTGCATGCGACCACTACTCTTCAAGAGAAAGCAGACTCTGCACAGGGCAGCCACACGCCGCGAGTTCCGCGTCGTCAGTCTCGTCACCAGCAGCCGGCTTCCGGCGTGCGGCGAGCGTGTGCAGAAGTGACGCCCGCTGGTGTATGGGTGGTGGCGGCTTCCCCTGCTGCGCCGGCAGCTCCGCGCGAGGCTGCCCTTTCAGACGAAGCGCTGACGAGGTCTGAAGTCGACGTCCATGTAGACGGTCTCCTCTCTGTATGGGAACGAGCCACGACGCGTGGCGTAGCACCGGTACCGGCCGAAGTCCGCCGGCCGGAAGTCCCGGATGTACAGCGTCGACCTGGAAGTAGGTGGCACGGCACAGCGTAGTTTCAGGTACGCGCCGTTTTTTTTTCGACCGCGGCCGCCGCTAGCGTCAGCCAGGCTGAGAGGTCGAGTAACGCTAGCATGGTTTTGCAAACATAACTATGTGACTGGTTGTTCGTTATCCATCCACACCTGCAGAACATCAGAAAGTGCCATTTTTAACTTAAATTCTCTGAGAAAGTTACGTCGAGCTATTGAACGAAAAACTGATTCCTTTGTAAACTGAGGTGATGCCACGACACTCCGGACACCGAGTGGATGGCCTATTAATTAATAGCGCAAAACTTTGCCACCAGGGGCGCTGCTTACCGGGATCCCTGCGTGTAGACCCGAGTGCTGGAGTAGAAATCGTCGTTGGTGTACCAGTCTGTGTATCCGCTGATGTGCCTGGGCCTTCCGTAGAAGTCACCCGACCTCAGGTGGTCGTACCGCCGCCAGTTGTGGTGGCCAAAGTCTTCGCCGCTGTGGTCTCCGCTCCAGTCGTCGTCGAAACTCCGCCGGAAGCCCTGTCCGTGGTGGCCGTGCCAGCTGCCGCGGCCGTCGCTGTAGCGGCCCCGACCGCCGAAGAAGTCGTGGAAGCGGCTGCGGCGGTTGTAGCCGCCGTGGTAGCGAGGCCGTCCGCGGAGGTCGGCGCCGCGGCCTCGACGGTAGTTGTACTGCCAGCCGCCAGGGTCGCTGTATATCTTCCTCCACACGATGTTCTGCGGAAAACATGGATGTAGTGCGTATCCTCTGAGCCTGACTTCGTAACGCAGCAGGCCACAGTGTGGTGAGCACCACAGCTATTTTCATGTTCATGTAGTCGCTATTGCGTCAATTTGTACGCATATAAACCTGAACCTGATAAAACTGTCACAACGCGTTTATAATTGTCGGGTCAGATTAAGGCCACGTAAGAATAGCACGTTGGAACGAAGATGTAAACAGCCTCACTGCAATCAGCAGTGGCTAAAACCCGGCGATAAGTGGCGTGAAGCGCCATAATCACGACGTGACATCGATATTCCAGCGCTTCGATGGCCTTGACACGAGCCTGCCGCCGCGCGACAGCGGAAACTGCATGTGAATGTGACTTTTTGAGAGCAGTGTGGTGCATTCCAGCGGGATAACCATGACGAGAGCCCATCCCGTGCTGCACCGCCTGAAACCGAGCGGACGTCGTGCCGCAGTGGCCAGCGGACAATCCCGCTATGCGAGTCTGGCCCGTATGCAGCCAGAATGAATATTTCGTGCTGAATGAATGAAATGAGTCACGCCACTGGTGCTTGCTGGATTTATTCGTAACGAAACGTGCCGGGTTAAAAGCAAAGGGATGCCTAGGCGGAAAGGTGACGTTTGATACTGAACTCACGACTTCGAAGTTCCGATCATCACTGCTGGTCCCCGGACCAGGTCAGGTCATGACACCAATCATATACATATCTCAGACCAGCAATCCTGATACCGGACAGAAATTAAGAGGACATCCCAGGTTTTCGGGCGTTTCCACTTATGCGAAGTTTGCATGATGCCACGCAATATAACATCGTAAGCACAATGCTTAGTGAATGAACGATTGAAAGGCAACAATTAAACCTTCACAATTACACATACAGACAACGGCTTCCATATCTCACATACAGTTTGCTCGATCTTCAGGCTTCAGCTTTCTGTGACTTGTGCCGATATGTCGTTCTTTCCTTTCCCACCACCTTCTCACATCCGGCAACGCGAGGCTCCATGATCGGCTGAATGCATCGACTCGCCACCAATATGATAGGCGTGAGACAGCGATGCGATTTTTTTAGGCACATCAGTTAGATGTGTCTTTAAAAAGGTGGATCGGTAAGCCAGACCTGTTTCCAGGGAGGATGGGTGCTGCGCATAGTGCAATCAGGTGTTTCAAAATGTTTCAAAAAATCCTGTATGGACGTTGAATATCTGTGTTCTTAGTGTTAACATTCTGTTTACTTTTTTGCCTTCAACTTACTTGGCAAGGTTAGGCAGTCAGTGAAAAAAATGATGATCTGGAAACACCTAAACCACTTTAAAATATTCAATAGTCGTGAGACACAGCTGTCATGTTCTTTTAGTTAGTGCCAAAAATGATGATCTGGAAACACCTAAACCACCTTAAAATATTCAATAGTCGTGAGACACAGCTGCCAATTGGCGCTAACAAATTGTCCCAGCTCTGAACGGCCCTCTGAACAGTGATATACCGACAGTTCCCCAGGTCCATGGCTAACCGACAAGCCCGTTGAACATTGACCCTTTGACCAACAAGCCTTTTGACCATTTTAAAGATGTCAGATGGAATAATTAGTGGTTGGGAATCAATAGCATGCGGCTCACGTCGGCTACCCTGGTTGGACCTGCTATATTCTTAGTCATGATCAACGGCGCCGCTTCTCATACAGAACATCGTTTGAAATATCTGAACGATCTCACAAAATACAACGCATGTCCAGTTGGCTGAGTGGAGGAGCACAACCAGCTGCAAGACAAGGCTGATGAAATATGTGGACAAGTAGCTGCAAATAAGGTGGTGTTTGATGCTTAGAAGTGTCAGATCATTCATGCTTTTGCTGCCAAAAATCCCCTGGTACTACCGGACATGGTGATAAATTGGATCTGCTTACCAATTGTTAGCAATACTCAACTTTTATGAGTGGCAAAATTCAGCAATATGTCTTAACCGGCACATGTAGATGAGATTGTAAGAAAGGCTCTATGGCATATATATATGCTTCACGTAGTTAAAAAACATCGTCTGTCTTAAGACCAAATAGCTAAGATTTACACCACACATGCTCCACCACTGCTTGAATACTCTTCCACTGTTTTTCATGCAGCAACGTGCTTCTCCCATTTTTCATTCCTTTGTTCTTCTACCATTTCCACTTGGTACTCTCAATGCCTCTGGAGAACTCTACTGGATGACTCTCCAGGCCCTTTCCCGCAGCTGTGCACACAGGTTCATGGTCAGCGCACCTCCAGCCGAGGAGATTTGACTTAAAAAGATCGAATGTCTTGACGCTAAGTCCGGGCTGCAAGCCGAGTGCTGCAGCTCTTCGAAGCCCCAGCTGCGAGTTTTTGTTTGGAATGCAGTCGATCATACCGGTACCATACGCATCCCAGGCAATGTTGACACCTTTCCGCTTTACGTCTAGTTCTTAGTGGTGAAGCCAGGGCAATGGAATACTGGCAAATCAATGTCGTATACCCTGTTACTAGACGCGAAAGGAAGGAAGGAAGGAAGGAAGGAAGGAAGGAAGGAAAGAAGGAAGGAAGGAAGGGCCAACCGGGAAGTCTATTACTCAATGCGGCCCTTTGATTCCGATCTTGTGGGCTCAACTGTCAAGGCACGCGTTTTGCCGACAACTGATTCGCATGAAGATCATTCTGGAGAATGGTCCAAACCATACCGAAGATATACGAAGCTCGTTCGCAATTGTTCTGATCTTCGTCCGGCTATCTTTCGAGAGTAGTTCTTCCACAGCACCGATTAGTTCGAACGTTTTGGCCTGAGAGTATCTCCCTGACTGAAGACCATCTTCAAGCGAACCACGGCATCGCACAGTATCGACGTAACATTGACCTACCGTGGAGATAACAACAATAGGGCAGTCCCAATATATACATTTACCAGACAGATGAGTTTCCTTAGCACGTTGGCCTTCCTTCGTCTGAAATTTTACCATCTCTCTCCTTTCAAGATTGGATGTGCCGTCCATAGCCGCCAAATGTTGCCTTTGAGATGCCGCAGTTCAACATGTTTTAGCATCAGAAGGCGAAAAGAAGCCAGGCTGGAAGTGATAGCACAGCTTTCGCAATATCGATCATGCGTTAAACCGCCCAAATCTGTTATGCTCCAAGAGCGTTTGATCCCCTCGCGTCTATCTGAGTCAGCCAGCTAGTGATTTATTTTACTCAACCCGGACTCAGGCTCACAAAAAAGCCAATGAGCAAAGTTCAGCTTGACTCAACACAAAGTTGGTTCGACCCGAAATCAACTGGAAAGCCACCGTTAATCCAGTTCACCTCTGGCTGACGCTAACAGGTCCCCTGTCAACCAAACAGAGCTGAGCTATCCTCTGATCTCTAGCTAGACGACATGTCTGTCTGAACGACACTCTGTCTGAACACACCGACAGAGTCCCTTACTCGCCAATAAATCCCTTAGCTCATTGACGGGGTCCCTTACTCGCCAACAAATCCCTTAGCTCACCGACAGGGTCCCTTTCTCGCCGACAAATTCCTTAGCTCACCGACAGGTCGTCGCTGACGCCGCCGTCGCGCAGGAAGTCGCAGACCAGCTCGCCGTGTCGGTTGCCGACGAAGTTGAAGTGGCCCATGCCGACCTTCCGGCCGCCGCCGCCTCCAGCCTCAGGGGTAGCCATAGTCGAAGTCGGGCCTGCCGTTGTACCTGCCGCCACCGCAGTCGCCGATGAAGCCGTAGCGATCGCGGCAGAAGAAGCTGCGGTCGCCGAGGTGCGACTCGAAGTAGACGTCATCAGAAGAGACGGCAGCCGTGGCCAGGGCCAGCAGGAGAAGGCGGCTGGCCATCGCCGACTGGAGGCGACGGTGGCTGGCGGTGGAGGAGGTGGGACTGGTGAGCTGGCTTTGGCAGGAGGTTTTGACCGGCCAGTTGAATATCTGGCCGAGACGTAAGAGTCGCTAAAGTGGGCTTTCAAAGGATGCAAATGACAGGAGGCGTAGATAATGTTTGCCCAGGACGCTGGCGGCGGGAGATGAGTGGGTGCGGCGATGCCCGAGCTCCCAATGGCCACCCGACCTCGGCGAGGACTCGCACTCCAACTGCCAACCGCAGGCAGAACACCGTGTCAATCAGCGCCAGGCGAACCAGGCCAGCCGGTCGCGCCGGGTGTGGCGATGCTATCTCGCGGCCGGCGCGGCGGGATGTGCAGCGGCCGCGCCGGTCCGCTGGTCCGCCCGCTGCCGATGTGGGAACAGCGAGGCATGCCGCGCCCATCGCCCACCCGGCCCGCCCCCGGCTGCCGGCAGGCCCCGGGTGGCGGCGTGTGCGCTCCCGGAGCCGGACCTCTGCCGTGACCGCCCTTGCACTCCGGTGATCGGCGCGGCGCACGACGTCCCCGTGAGCGGTCACGACAGTTGGAGGACGAGGCGGACGCTCGCCGAATAGGTGGCGCTGCAGTCGCCCGCCGGGAACCGCTCGGCGTTCAAGGCGCGCTTTGTTGTCCGGCACATTGCGACCCCGCCACCACCGGGGTAATTATGGTGGCGGCAGGACGGACGGCTCATGTCGCCAGCAGGCTCTGAATGGGTCGACACACATTTGAATAACCACCGTTGCTGCGCAGTGGTCCGACTCGGGTTTCCTGTCCCAGCTGGAGCGTCAGCCGGGGCACGCGGTGGAGCTGCGGGGCGGGGCCGACACGCCGCGGCCCCGCTATAGTCGGTGCTGCCGGCTGTCGGCGCGTAGTTTGACGGCGGAGTTTGTGCCAAAACTCAGGACGAAGGCCGGAAAAGCGGGAAAAGCGATGGGACGGCCTTCCTGTAGCGGGATGGTGAGGACGGGAGCGAGGGACATATTTTTGACGTTTTCGGTTTGATATATCAAGTAACGTATTCAGTGAAATTTTCCGGCGACGTGACACTGATGTACATCCAGCGGAAGCCAAAAACATATGGAACAATGCACTTTCGGAAATGGCTGCGAATAAACGCGTACACCGGGTCACGAACTTCAAGCAAATGGTAACTCAAGCCTAATCTGCTACTAGTTACAGTCATTGAGACCTTTCGGCTTTACCGTCTGTGTTTTGAGCAGCCTCTAGCAAAGCACTGTGTGCGGGTGCTAGGATAAGGAAGCCTGAGTCATTGATGAGTTAGATTTATATTTATATTTGTGGTCAGAATCCACACAACCTCGGAGACATTTTCTGTCATTCACTTGTCGCAAGCTCTTGAATGGCAAGTTCTTGTGTTTTCATTCTCATTTATTTCATTCATTTCGGAGACATTTTCGGTTATTCATGGGTCTCAAGTTCTTGAATCATAAGATCGTGTTTTGCGCTGTTCATCTTTCTGTATGAGAGGTGCTGAAAGCGTATTTGTAAATGTGAAAGTATTCTCATAAGCTAGTTCATTCATTGCTTAACATCTTCAGTTCACCAATGTTTTTTACCGGAACAAAGGCATGTTTCTAGACAAATTTATATTTGAAGGAATGCGCGCATGGCCAGGTTTGGCAGCTTTTCGCAGCGATTTACGGATTAGGTCATCGCGACTAAAGTACTGCAACAAATGCGAACATTTTAAATGGATATTAGTCAAAATGGCCGACGTCCGTCTGTGCGTAGCTCGCGTGGGCCAACCTCTCTCGGGCTTACGTAAAAGCATTTTGCATTTGGGATCAGTTTTGGGAGAGGTGAGAAACTTGAGACCTCACATAAGCACCCCACAACAAGTGCATCGCACGAGAGCGCGTGACCGTCTACGCACGTCAACACACATTTTGCATACTATATATATATATATATATATATATATATATATATTATATATATATATCTCTCTCTCTCTCATCTCCCCTCTCTCTCTCTATATGTGTATATATATATATATATATATCTCTCCATCTCTCTCTCATCTCTCGCTGATCTCTCTCTCTCTCCTCTCTCTTCTTCTCTCTTCTCGG